ACAACAACAACAACAACAACAACAACAACAAAAACAACAACAACAGCAACAACAACAAAAATGAAAACCATCACATTAACCATAATAAAAAAAATAACAATAATAATTACACCAATAACAATAAAAACAGCATCAGCATCAACAAGAACAACAATGACAACAACAAAACAATAACTGAGCTTAAAAAAAGCACGATATCAACCGCTATATACCCAAACAATTAACAAACAACTATGTATGGGCGCTTAATTTTATCTATACAGTTTCTCTATAATCACCATAAAAAGCTTTGCCCTGCTCAAAAATTCTCAATTCTCAAAAAATCTTATAACTCCTCAAGTAAAAAATTCTCATTTTTTGCCTTTTGGTCTCATTTCGAGCAAATAAGATGATTGAGGAGGTTTGTTTCTCGAAAAGGTATACCATAAAGAGTCATCGTAAGTGGAGTGATTCATCATATTGAAGCTTTTCAATACTGTTTTGAATTACAATTTATAAATTTCAAAAAGTGTCCCCGTGTCCCGTTTCGGGAAAAAAACGGGGAAAGTGTCCCGTTTCGGGAAAAAATGGGTTGAAACTTTTGACTGGTAGTCTAATATCGAGCGAATAAAGCAAGCGAGTAAGCTTGTCACAAAAGAATAAGCAATGTGATTTTCGTGTTACTCCAGTAAATTTACTTTTATAGTTCTATAATTTTTAAACAAATTAAAAAACTTCCAAGCTGACCCCATGTATTAACATAGGCTATATAGTATCCGGTCAGCACCCTATGTATTAACATAGGCTATAGTTTTCCCATGTATTTAGGTTACAGGTTTCAAAGTTTCAGATGGTAAGACGGTAAGATGGTAGGATGGTAGGGTTTTAAAAATTCCCGTTTGGAATCTTTATCATTTTTCATCGAAATTTACCATCTTACCATCTGAAACTATGAAACCTATAACCTTACTACATGGGAAATCTATAGCATATGGTAATACATAGGGTAGTGACCGGATAGTCCATAGCCTATATTAATACATGGGTGTCAGCTCGAGGAATGTTTTTTGGAATGTTTTTGGGAGCAGTTCGAGGAGAAACTGCTAATCGGTAAAATTTCATTGCAAAAATAAGTTTTCTCTATGAGCATTTATGTTTTTCTGTTGGATCAACAATGACCAGATGCTTCAAAAAGTAATAAACGCAAACAATCCAATTGATGTTTAAATGAGCAACTTTAGACAACTTGCAGTTGATAAAATTAGATAAAAATATATTATCTACAAAAAATATAAAGATTTCAGATCTGTTGTAACTTTGTCTTGCAAAACTTTGATTATGTTTACTATATAATCCATAATACTGCATTATTTTTGCACAGTTTTTAGAATGCATATTTTTGTTCGATTACCAAAACAATCTAAAAATGTTTTTTTTTTATAGAAAAAACTTTATTCACACTATATACAGATTGTATACAGATTTTATACATGCTAGATACTGTTGATACACAAATTATATACTGATTTTCCCATCAATCTCGCCAATCAGATAATATGAGTATATTTAAATAAAATGTAGTCTTTTCATGGAAATCTTTATATTGTTGTTTGATTTGGAAAAAAAATCAATATTACGGAAATAACATGCAGCAAAAATTAATTCGTGTATATTATTTTTTTCCAATTGTTTTTATGATGTTTTTTCACAAAAATGAGCTGAAAAATTGAATTTTTGAATGGGATTTGAAAAAGCTTTGCTTAAAAACTTTTTTTTACCGCGAGATTATGTAGGTTGCAAAATCACAGAAGTATATTTTGAAATTTGTGATTTGCAAAACAATTTTCCTCATGTGAGTTCAGCTCACTATAACACTGAAGAAAACTTTTCCTGATGACAAATTTCTGGTCTATTTGTAAAAGCTAAAT